TTTCTTTTAGTGTTCTACCAGATATTTAAAATTCATTTTTCATAGAAATATGTTCTTTTACAGGTAGTTGGTCCGTTCTATGCATTTTGGGGATGTTTCTGCACTGTTCGATCATTTGCATGGGTAGACAAATATGACATACGTAATGCTACAAATCGTCGTGTTGTTAGAGCAATGGAAAAAGAAAACAAGAAATTGAGAGAAGCGAACAAACGGGAAAGAAACGAAGAAATTCGAGTTATCTTTATATGTTTTTGAAGTATTTCAACAACCTTATCAAAATTTGAAGTAGAAATGCTGAGATTAGTTCGCATCTGTCTAGATTGCATTGTCTTAGAACATCAGGAGTTGTTCTTTTCACTTATTATAGGAAAAAAGGCACAGTTTTCTATCTCAAAAAGTTGTGAACACATTCAATGACAATCTGTTATTAACTCAGATCGATACAAATTTAAGGCTTTGGTTGCATTCATACGAAAACGAGATCCACGGGTTCATGCACACAAAAAAGAATTGGAGGAGAAGCGCTTGGAGCAAGAAAGAAGAATAGAAGAAAATAGGAAACTGAAGATTTTGGAACAGCTAAGGTTATTTAGCACTTCGGTTAAAATTCTTAAGTTCTTCAGATCAATTTAACAATATTCAGTGTAAAAAATATTAGCATTCAAAACGAAAAAAAAACCATGATGGTGTTCATATTTTGAAGTTGGAGTTATTAGAAAAGGCATTTCGTTGTTAAATACATTATCGGACTACTTTCATTTTCAAGTCAAGCTGGTGAATACAAAGAATCGGAAGAGGTACAGCAGTCGCAGCTAGAGAATTTACGTGAAATTGAGGAAGCTTTGGATGCTGAATTCGGAGGAAGTAACGGCGGAAGTGAAACAGAATTTCACGAAAAATCGCACTTTTATTGTGTGTTTTGTGAAAAAGCATTCAAAACTGAGTAAGTAATCATTAATTCAGCAATATTTTTATGCATTTCTCGTTTTTCTGACATTCAGAAAACTTCGGTATAATTTCTGTATAATTCTTTTGTATAATAACTTCTGTATAATTCTTTCGTTATAATTTATATAACTCCGTTATAGAAAGGCAATGAGCAACCACAAGAGATCAAAAAAACACAAGGATACAGTTGCCTTGTTAAAGAAGCACATAAAGGTATCCGCGTTTACTCTGATTTTTGATACAGTTTTGTGTAAAATACTTTCAATTTTGAGATCAAATTAATATCTTATATAAAGGACTCCTATTATTTTGGTGTTATTTATGAAATTAAAATCAATGTTGCATGAAGTATTTTTGAGATAGAATAAAACTTTTTATTGGGCGAAGTTTAAATACTGTACTTTGAAGGAAGATGACGCCTGCTTATTAATGACTGATGAAGAAGACATAGAGAATGAGGAAGCTGAAACAGGTAAAAAGAAATCGAAAAAACAAAAACAAAGGGAACGAAGAAAAGATGGACATAATTTGGATAAAGCTGATGAAGATGGGTAAAAGCGAGGAAACTTTTTTTACTTAGAATGTTTCTGCATTTCATTTTAGTGGTATTTTCTTTTTACTCTGTTTTTATTTCTAATTTTTTTTTTTTTAAATTAACAATATTTGAGAGGCGAACCAGGCACATCGGATAGTGAAATGAATGAAATGATAGCTAAAAATGGTACTGAGAAGCATAAGGAGGAATGTGCTAAAAACGCTGATGAGACAAATATATTCTTGAAAATGTCTAAAGAGGTTTCAAAAATATCACAACCTGATAATAAAGGTTCTCATTTCATAATTTTTGCATTTAATTTCTTCATGAATATATCTGATTTAACACTAAATGATTCATTATTATTAAAAAAAAATAACACTGTTTTTTACATTCTCTAATAATTTAATCGTTCACTTTTAAAAAACTACGTATTTTTTTATAATGTAAGACTGATGATCGATGCACTCTGTTGTGCAGATAAATTAAACGGTATGGTCTGATGAATGACATTATTTGAGAACTTGCATTTTCATTGATAAAATAAAGAGCTGAGTGACTTTGAATGATACTGATAAAATTTTTAGTTTCGAATTTCCGATTAAAATTGCAAATTGAAGAGAATGTTTTTAAAAAAAAATACTGACTGATGTCTGTAATTTACCTAGAGAAAATATAGTATACTTCATCACTGGGTGCCGAATTTGAATATGGGATTCCAACTTTCATAGATATACCTTTTTAAAAGTTAATAATGAAAACAGTTTCAGTTCGGAGACATAAAGAAAGAGCGATGACTGCTAAAAATATTGCAACAGAAGACACAAATCCGAAGAGCGGTACATGTGATCGCTGTGGCGAATTTTTCGAATCTCGGACAAAATTATTTGCCCATTTGAGGGAATCCGGACACGAAACACTGAAAAAATTTCCTGCTGCGGCTTTAGCAAAAGTTAAGATTAATAGAATTAGAAAAAAATGAAACTGATATGCAATTATGTCATTTATTTTTGGAACTTCTTATGTTAAAATAAAATTTTTTTTCGAAATAGTTTTAGACATGCGATAGTATGCTATGAACTTTAGCTCTTAATCCTTTTCTATTGCTCCTTTCTGCTGCACAGTGGCAAAATGAAATATATGGATATGGCCAGTTCATCATATTCTAAAAAAAATATCAAAGTATAATAATAAAATTTTTTGTCTATTTATTCCATCCTCAGGTTGGTATGATTTTCGATATTGCTAAAAGCACTTTAAGAAGTTTGTAATTTACCTAGAAGAAATATATCATACTTCATGACTGAGTGTGAAACAACATTGTTAAATTTGAATATACGGAGTTCCAACTTTTATTGATATATCTTTTTAGGTGTCAGTGTTATCAAGAAAATCCATTGCTAAAAGCTAGAAATCATTCTGATCTCTGTAACTAAATTTATGGCCAAATTTTGAGGAAGAAATTTGAGAAAGCATACATTTCTACACTGAAATCAGATTTTCAATGAATGATTTATAAGCAATGATTTCCTGGTTTATTATCTATTCAGCAATTTTAGATTTTTAATTTATAGTATTTAGTTACATAGTATGTATAACTAAATACTTTCACATACATCGTAGCATGCGAAAAGGCTTCTCGATGACTGGAGAGAAATCTGTATATAAGATGGAACAAGATAAGCCTGTAGTTTTATAGTTAAATTTATTATGCCTAACAATTACACTTTAATTTCAAAATTCGAAATATTTCTCCTTCAAATATTGTGCATTCATCTAAAAAATTCATTGAACCATGCAAAAAAGCGATAATTTTGCATTTATTTACATTTTCTTCAAGCGTCAAATTTTACAACAGTACGCCTACTTAATTCACCTAAATCGATCGAATGATTCCTGTCAATTTTTCGTTTGTCTTTGATGAATTTCTCATAGAGTAATGTTCCATCTTCTTTTACTGTTTCATACGAGCTGGAAATATTGCAAACGTTACAAGAAAAAATTATGAAAGATTGGAAAGAAGCTTTAAGCTGGAGACTTACCCGATTGCTGGATGATCATAACGAAATTTTCGTTCATTAATACCCTGTAAAATTGATATGAGAGAGAAAAAAAGTAATCATTTGAGAGAATTTCTAAATTGAAATAAACAATGGACATGCAAAAAGGAAAGTAATACCTGCAGCGAATAGCCAATGCGCTTTTTCGTAGAGCAGCGACCTTTGAGCAGAAAAGATGATCGCCTTGATAGCAGTTGATTTTCCTCAACAGCCGTTGATATCAAATTATCGAGATCTCTCAGTACACTTTTTAGCTGTCGAGGTGATGCCTGTAAATTGATCATAGTAATTGTGAATTTGAATGAAATAAAATCCTTGAAAAAAATCTATATTTTTAATAGCATTCAATGGTGTATCCATCGATCATTCGTTCAATCAACGATTGATTCCATTAAGATTTTTAAATAATTACACCATTTAAAATTAACATTTTCTAGAATTAAGATTACTAATTTTTCATCCAATTATTATATTCTGAAAGGCGTTCATATCAAAATAGCCAAATTTTTAATTTTAAGGAAGGCGAAAGAAAAAAACAATTTTTTAACTTACATTTAATTCGGTAGCAACAATTTCAAGCAGTTTCGACACTTTCATAGTTTTACCACCAAACCAGACGTGCACGTCACGTGCTCCACGTAATTTTCGTCCCAAGTAGTGAATCTAAAATTTGAAATTTTATTCAAGTTTTTAGCATTTTTAGCAAGGATTACTCAGCAATTGCTACGATATATC